CTCTCCTTGATCATTGTCTGTGCTATCCGCAAAAGTGAAGAACGGTCTTTTTTTGACGTGTATAAAATATATATGACGATCGCAGAGCCGCGCGGTCTAAGGCATGAACTGTCTTCGAACGCTGGGATCGTGGATTCGAATTCCACTGGAGGCATGGATGTCTGTGTGCGTTTATTCTGTGTTTGTGCTGTCCTATGTGCAGGTAGCGGCCTTGCGACGGGCTGTTCCACGTCCGAGGAGTCCTACCGTCTGTGTACGGATTAAGAAACTGCAAAAGCGGCCAAGGTCCATAAGGGCTGTAGAGCCATAGATAGATAAAGGATATATTCCACTGGCATGGGGGGCATGCGGTAGCGTAGTTAGTTGAGGCACTACGCTACAAGTTGGAAGGTAGCGTGTTCAAATCCCGATGAGATCATTGGATATTTTTCAATTGACCTAATCCTTCCAGCCGCACTATGGCCCTGGGGTCAACTCAGCCTCTAACAGAAATGAGTACCAGGAATATTCTTGGAATGTTCTTGGGGGTAAAGGGCGGCCGGCGCGTAAGGCTGACAACCTTACCGCCATCTATGAGCCGATTGTCTAGATAGTGTGGGACCCTCAACGTCTCACAACCCTATGGCCCTCCACGGCCTGTTACAGGGATGGATTTACTTTTTACTTTTATTACCTCGCTGGGCAAGATTACAAAAGAACATTTGAACTTCATGGAGAAAAGAAAACTTTTCGGAAGACATTGCAAGTGGCGGCGTTCAGTTTTAAGAAATATAAGAACAGGCGTTATTTAATATAACATTTAATTCGTCTTTCACATAGTTGGAAACTCGATGAAAGACGAGGAAGGGTGTAAGAAGCCAGCCGTATATACACATGATGTTTTGGGTCACGCTGTTTACACAGAGAAGAAATGCTGGAAGGATGATACAGTTCTGGGTAATCAGCAGCGCAGGGCTGCTGTAGAGAGTTAGGGCAGCTCAGAGCCGCGCCATAGCTCAAGCGGTTAGTCGTTGGCTTCCCAGCGATCCCGGGTCTGGTCAAGCGGGATTTGTGGTGGACAAAGTGGCGCTGGGGCGGGTTTTCTCCGAGTACTTCGGTTTCCCCTGCCAATCTTCATTCCACCAAATTCTCCATCTTCATAATCACCCGAGGCAGGCTAGAATAGGCCAATTAGTAGTCGCCGTGCCGAGTGGACCCAGTTGGACTGCACCCCTCACTAAGCGAATTTTAATTTTAGGGCAGCTCAGGTGGTCAGTCACATTGGCAATAAAGGGAGATATTTTTCTGTTCGTATAGCGAACATAGCGTACGTAGCGCTCTGTGTGGCCGAACCTTAATGTCTGCTTTTACAGCGCTTCCATCCTCTCCTCTCATTGCCTAGCAGCATGATAAAAATATCAGCGCTCCACTCGATAGAAACATTTGCATATTGGTAAGAATATATCTGAACGCAACGTCTATTGAAATATTGATAGACGTTCGGTTAAAAAGGTATTTATATGTGCATGTATCTTCATCATCGTCATCGCAATGATAATTTTTATAGAGCAACGTTGTCAGCCTTGCGTCTCATCACCAATCTGGAGGATCTTTTTTCTTTTCTGTGGCACTACAGCACCAGTGTGCCTAGGCCTACCTCCATGAAACTCTCCGTTTCACTTCGGTTTACTAGATCTTACACATGCGGTAGGACTCCTTGGGCGGGTGATCAGCTCGTCGCAAGGCCTCTACCTGTAGACAAACACAGAAAAACGCACACAAACATCCATGTCCTGAGTGGGATTCGAACCCACGATCCCGGCTTCCGAGCGAGCGAAGACAGTGCATGCCTTAGACCGCTCGGCTACCGTGACCGGCAATCTGGAGGATCAGGTACCTGTATTTATTTTCCCCTCTGACAGGGTTGCTGAGTTATACCCCCAGGCATCGGGTTCCCCTTAAGTCGCCTTCTACGACTCGCAGAGCTACGATCGGGGTATTCGAACCGTTCGAACCCGCCTACGCAAGGGAAGAATAGAAGTAAAAAGTTGTTCCTGTGCTTAACGAATTAAGCACCACGCCATGAAAGCGTATGGGGGAATGGATGTATACATACACTGGTCCCTTTTCCTCCGGGAAAGAATTCCCGGTAACCATTGGATAGGAAGTTGTGTGGACCCCAGAGCCGGTCTGGACGACCCTACTGGGACTCGAACTCCGACCCCTTGTTCGTCCAGCTCGTAGCCAGCCGCTATACCGACTACGCTACCCCGGTTCCTCAAGGGGAGTGTGTGTGTGTGAATGTATCATCCCGGACTGCTATGGCATGAGAATCGTGAATATGGTTAAAACACAGTATGGAGGGGCTTAATCAAAGGTGCAGGTCAAGGGCTTTTTTCTCTCTTGAAATAAATGCATCGGTTAGCCAAGGTTACTTACGGAGTATGATTCTCTACGCATCGACGTTGATACAACGGAATATGACAGGTATTCAGATAAACCAACGAAGGACCTGCGGAACAGCTTATACACTCGAAGCTACCATCACTTTTTCAGACATAACAAGCATAACACAACTGAAAGACACATTTCCAATATATGACATAGTTCAGAAGCAAAATAAGTTTCTCCGGGTGAGAGGGACAATAATGTAAACACCCTTTATATCCGTTACGTCCGTAAAATAACAATACCTTGAATAAGACGCATCGAAATGAGCAAAATTACAACTAAATGGAAAGTCTTTGTCAAGAATGTCACAAAACTACAAAAGAAATACAGAGAAATGTTCTCATATCGGAGAACAGATAGGCATTTTGTATACACCCACGTTTTATTTAACGTTGATACTATGCATAAGTAATACAACAAACACCATTCTATGACAATGGGCCATAACTGATTTCAAATACGAGGCTCAGCACATACAATTGGAAATACGAGCGTATTAAACACACAGCGTGAAAACTCACAAGCCTGCTTGTTTCCCTTATGGAAGGAAAAGAGGTTGAAATTGCAGACACGCGGTTGTTGCGAGTAATCGAATGCTTAGAATATATTCTGTGGGAATAAAGCTACACAATGTAGCTATTTACAAGGACAGCAAACCTAACTAATAGAAGCATATCGTAGTTATCAACAGCAAACACAGTTCTGTATAATATTCTCCTCGTAATGCTGCCTCCGTACGTAGACAAAATTATTCGGGATCAACAGTGCAGATTTCGAAGCAGTTGATGAACTACCGATCGGATATTCCGTAGTCTTCGGATACTGGAGAAAGAAAGGGAGTACAATGGGACAGCCTATCCGATATTTATAGGCTTCTAGAAAGCCTAGAGTTGTGCAGTATTCTCAATGAGTTTCGCATAGGCATGAAACAAGTTACGCAGATTAAAACGTATTTAAGGAGACCTAGGGTAAAGGTCGCGGGAACAAGTATCTGTTTCATACGTGTCACATTCAGGATGATCTGAAACAAGAATATGCTTTATCGTCACTGTCGTTCAGATTATCCCTAGAATACGCCATTAGGAAGGTCCGACGTGTGAAAAGACAAGGGACGGAAATTTGAATAGAAAATATCATCTGATCTATGACGATGCTGTCAATTTATTGGGCGGAATATCACAAAGAAAGACACAGAAGAAAGCAGTCTTCTGGGATTTGGCACCGTGTATATGTGGTGTTAACCGACGTTTCGGAGGAACGTATCGCCTCCATCTTCAGGGTAGAAGAAAAAATATAAGAAATCTGCAAGGGAAGAGACCGTGAGAACCGGTAAAAGCAGAC